AGAACAGAACTGGCATGAGAGGGTAATTCTGTCTTCAGGTCATATTGATAAAGGATAGAAGCTTACACACACTTCCCACACTTAACATGCTCTGTGGATAAACAAAGACCTTTTGCAGTCAAGCACCTTTCTTGAGCTAAGTTAACTTAAAACACAATACCCTCAATAAATACAGAGACTTCTAGAGCAAATTTCACTGACAGCAGAGAAAAAAGGATTAATTTTAACTTGAATGTAATACTCTAAAGCAGCTGCAGTTTTAAAGCGGCTCAGAAAAGGAGAAAAGCTCTCACAGAAGGCTTACAAATATAGTCTCATGTCCAAAACTGTCCAAAGACTTTTATAGAACAGGAAAGCTACCAAGCTAGACCACACCAAACACTCTGTAAGTAAAGAAAAATGGTCCTGTTTGTGATCACATGACCAGTTTTTACCCTGGTCTAACTCCATTGGTTTCAGTGCAGTTACTTCCAATATACAATGATGTAACTGAGACCAGAACCAGACCCAATGATCATTTTAAAACATCAATGGCAATATCCAATTGGCAATTACAGGAACATTTCACACATGTAAAATAAGTTCCTGCCATCTGTACCAGTGAAAAGTCTTAGGACACATTATCCAGCAAAGAGTTGTACCACTGAAAAGTGCTATATAACAGTTCGTTATTATTATTATTATTATTATTATTATTCAATTAGATCAGAAACCAGCTTTGTGATTTTAAGGCGAAGAGGAAAAAGGGAAATATCTGAAGTGAAGGTAAAAATGATTGATGGTCTTGAAGGTGCGTAAAGGCGGCAGAGGGGGGGAGGAAAGTTGCCTGAAATTCTGCAATGCCAAAGCTACTACAGTAATAGAAATGTAGCCGTGTTAGTCTGGTGTAGCTGAAGCAAAATGCAGGACTATGTAGCACTTTAAAGACTAACAAGATGGTTTATTAGATGATGAGCTTTCGTGGGCCAGACCCACTTCCTCAGATCAAATTTTCTTCCACTATTTGATCTGAAGAAGTGGGTCTGGCCCATGAAAGCTCATCATCTAATAAACCATCTTGTTAGTCTTTAAAATGCTACATAGTCCTGCATTTTGCTAAAGCTACTACAAGCAGTGTCAGCCATATAGGATTACTACTGCAATCAGTTTGTCATTCTTGATTATCTGAGTACAGAGAAAAATCAAAGATAGAATACACAAGCTCCTTAGTCTGCACTGTCAAACCCACATAACTTTTCCTTTTCACACTCATGTTAAGTTAAAGAGCAGATACTGGCCAGGAGCTCACCTATTTTTCTTAGAGATCATAATACATTTTGGAGTAGGTTCTCAGAAGTGCTGAATACCCATGGTTCCCATTAAGCAATAACAGATTTGGCTATACTCAAGTCTTATCTAACTAAGACTTTTTTTCCTGTTGTCAGCAATTGTGTCAATTTCCTTGGTACTTGACAGAAGTGTTTGGGTAAATTGGGCTAATCCACTGTCAACACCACATCATTAACTATTATCCTCACCTGTGCAGCTTCACCTTTTGATGATAATGGATGCTGAATGTCCTTGTGTAGGCAAAGCTCATGAACCCACTGCAGGATGTTTGTGACTGTCTCTCCCTCTAGTGGCTAGAGCCCTAGCAAGAGAATACAAACCTTACAATACTATTACTTTCTCCTTCAGTTCAGATGACAAAGGTATGTGCTTTTGGAGATGGCTGTAAGTTCTATATCCACCAATCTGCACTGACCACAGCCCACCTCGCACCTGACCTTTTCCATTTGTTCCTCTTTAAAATCCTTGCCTGACACTCTGCCTCTTTCAGTTATTTATAGGGTCAACTAAATAGTCTCCTTCACTTCCCTGTGCTGTTTGCAGTGTTGCTATGTGCAGTTTTGCAGCTGGTTCTGTCCATTCTAGCAGTGGCTCGTGCATAGTCTAAAAATATTTCGATCCTGTTGGCCAAAAAGAAATTTGTAAATGACATCAGTGGGAGTTGGGTCAGACTCTTACATGACACAATTCTGAATGGCATGAAGGAGAGTGGCATTGTTGAGGGAAGACTTACACTACAGAAGCTGGATACATTTTTAAGATGGAGCACAATACGAGGAGTGTGTGCTGCTGCAGACATCGTTGACTAATAGCAGTAGAGTTGGGGGGTTTTCCCAATATAATAAAGCTGTGCACTCAACATGGGCCCTAGTTGCTGAAAAACACTTAAGATTTCGCCCTCCTTTTTGTCATAATGATATTGTGGAGTTTAATAGGGCTAAGGGAATTACTGTGCAGAATTTCAATCATTTCCCTTACAGAAGTGCCTTTCTAAATTAAATAAATTCCAGTGGGACTAGACACAAATATATTTGGGCAATCTCAGGCTCTGTGAGTGAGTAAAAGGGCCACAGAACCAATTACAGACAAAGTGACCTTCTAACGTTCTCACTCAGCAATAGTAGTGTGGTCTAACTGATAAGGCACTGGCCTCAGTGTCAGGAGTCCTGGGTTTTCAGCTCAGATCTATCACTGACAACATAAGTAATCTTGGGCAAAAATCTCTTCACTGTTCTGTGATTCAGTTCCACGTCCTATAAAAGGGAGTATAAAGATATGTACTTTCTCTTCTCATTCATTTTTCAGTCCACAGATAAAAATCATTATATGAGAGTTTCTAATAGGATAAATGTTAAAAACACCTGCTATTAAACTCTTTAAGAGATTCAAATGAATTAGTGAGATTCATGTGTGGAACCTGATGGAAAATGACAAGCCCTTTTGAAGTGTATTCCTAAATTACCCAAGAAATGACCAGTAAAGTGAGTGTCTGGCTACAATATTGATCAACAGCAACAAAAGAAGATATCTGACTTCTGAAGGCTACAAATCCTCAGCCCTAGCTTCCTCCTCGAAGTTCTTTCACCCCTTTCTACACAGACAGCCCTCGGACCAATAGGTTTTCCCAAGCTTCTCCACTGCACTATCCATAGGTTTCCCCACTTCTGTTATCCTCACATGAGCATTCCGAGACCCTTGGGAAAAAGGCAACATGTACGTGTTAGTATTAATACTCAGCCTGGACCAGTCCACACGAGAAATCTACTTCCTTGACACTACAGTACAATTAAATGATGGACAAATTTCCACCACCTTATACCAGAAACCTACCGACCACCACACTTACCTTCATGCCTCCAGCTTCCATCCCAGACACATTTTTCAATCTATTATATACAGCCAAGCCCTAAGATATAACAGGATTTGCTCCGATTCCATAGACAGAGACAAACACCTACAAGATCTATACAGAGCATTCCTAAAACTGAAATACCCACCCAGAGAAGTGAAAAAACAGATCAAAAAGCCAGAAGAGTACCCAGACATTAACTACTTCAAGACAGACCCAAAAGAGAAAACAACAGAATTCCACTTGTCATCTACAGCCCACAACTCAAATCCCTCCAACACATTATCAAAAATCTACAACCCATCCTGGAAAATGATCCCTCACCCTCAGAGGCCTTGGGGGAAAAGCCTATTCTCGCTTACAGACAACCCCCCAACTTGAAACAAATTCTTTCCGGTAACCATGCTACACAGCTACATCATAAGCATCCAGGAACCCCGCCCTGCAATCAGCCCCAGTGCCAATTCTGCCCACATATCTATACAAGCGAATTCATCACTGGACCCAACCACATATGCCACCAAATCAGAGGCTTATTTAATTGCACATCAAATGCCAGTAATGCCCCACTGCAATATATATTGGACAAACTAGATAGTCCTTACGGGAAAGAATCAATGGACACAATCAGATATCTATAAAGGGAACATACAGAAACCTGTTGGTGAACACTTTAATCTGCCTGGTTACTCATTAAGAGATCTTGAAGTTGCTGTTTTGTTACAGACCAATTCCACAAGCCAGATACACAGGGAAGGGTTGACACTTCAATTCATTCACAAGTTTAAGTCTCATGCCAATGGTCTGAATCAAGATACCAGATAGCTGGGACATTATCAATCAACCAAACAATGAAGGTGCCAATGGTTCTCTGTCTGTGTAGAATCTGATGTTAGAACTCTTCCTCTCTAAATGCCAACTAATGGTCCTTATCTGCTTCTTTTAACGATCCAGTCTTTAGGTGCTTATAGACTATCAGTGTTGCCTGTTACATACCAGCTCGGCTTTCCCTTTGATATTTATATACCCACTGTTTCTTCCCCCCCCCCATTATTTCCTCCTCCCCCTCCCCCGTTCCCTATTTATTTTTGGTTCTGGACAGCCTACACTCCGGTCATCTGAAGAAATGGGCTGTGCCCACGAAAGGTCATGATACCGTCTACATGTTTTGTTAGTCCTTAAAGTGCTACCAGATCATTTGTTGTTTTTTTAAGTTTATCCTGTACAAACTAACTCGGCTATCCTTCTGAAGTATTAATATTGTTTATGACCTCTCTGATGATCATACAAGTGTGGATCCTATTATGCTTAGTTTTTATGGATGGCACTTACTGATTTATTGCCCAGGAGGATTTAGTGCCTTTCCTTCCACTTAGCCTGATCCCTATAGAAAAAGAGTACATAGGTAGTCTAGAGAGAACACTGTCAGCTACATAAGAACATGGAACTAGTATGTAACCATCTTTCCCATGGCTGGCTCTTGGAGCTTCTTTTCCACTGGAGTCCCACCTTCCTTCTCCTCTTCACTGTATTCAAAAGATATGTAAACTAGGCCCAGTATAGTTTCTTCATAAATAAGGCCTTGGTAATGTGGGACAAAATGAGACCTACTTCCATCTTTACTTTGTGGTAGATGGAATACTTCATGTATAGTGCATTTATGTGGGCCATTTATATGTAAACTGCACCAGAAGACAGTGATTTAAGGTTATGAATCATGTCTTCTAACCACAAGCTGGAATTCCATACATAGGCATACTGATTCAGCACTCACAATCGAGTGACATGTGCCACTCTCTCTCCTAGGGAAATGAAATATTACCTCAGCAAGCCGAGAATGCTTGTGCACGTTCTCTCCTTTCTGCACACTTGGAGCAAGCTGCTGAAGGACACCCCGGCTGCTCGTGAGGGCTCGTGTCAGGCGAGCAAACTTCCCCCAGCCTTGAGAAAACACAAAAAAGATAACAACAGTTACAAGAAACAATATCCAATTGTATTTCAGGAAGTCTCTCTTAATTCAAGGAATCAAATTCAGCAATAATAAAGGTAGTATAATTTAATTACAGGCCAGGTGGAAGTGAGTCAAGAAACAGATGTAAAGTGGCCAACAAGTGTAGCAATTCAATGGCTTTGCAAGAGGACAGTTACAGAAACTAAGTATTCCCTGGGGACAAAATTGTGCCCTGGAATAATCACCTATTGAAGTAAGTGATCTGATTCAGATTTCACATCAATGCAGGAGATGCTCCTAGCCTATACAGGTGAAAGATCAGAATCAGGAACAATAAGAGTTATAACAAGAAGTGAATATGGCCCCTGATGTATAGTGGATGGTGTGACTGTAAGCAAAGATATAAACACCACACCATATGGTCTAACAAAAAAAAATGTGTAGATTCAAACTCTGCAAAAACATTCACCTGCACTGGGGGGGGAGAGAAGAATTTTATATGCTGAATTTTAGCCCGGAATAATTGTTTTACAACTGATTCATAAACCCCTCAAAACAAGGGACCTTTAACAGTGTTAGCAATAACAGTGACATTTATGATCATTAATTTGCAATCAAAGAAATTCAGTCAGAACTTGTATTTGAACCTCTCTAGCTTCCTAAAAGAAAAATATGATTAGGTCCCAATCCTGCAAGATACTTGGTGTCTTCTTAGAGTCACTGACCATTTTCAAACCCCATTCTCATTGAGGGTGCTTAAAACCTTTTGCAGACTTTCTCTCAATATGGTTCTGAGGCTGGGAAAGCTTCTATAACCTTCTGACTCCATTAAGAGAAGAAATTATGATACCTTTAAAGAGCAGCAAGGGTTGCTTATCTGCAAGTCCCATATTTAAATCATTGGGATTGGAGTGGTTAAAGTGCTGCCCAGCACTGTGAATGTTACCTGTCAATGCTCTGTTGTGGAAACATTAGCTGGAATATGTCTTTGCAAAATAAAGGGGCGACACATTACAGAAGCAAATTATATGGATTTGCCATTCATTAGAACCTTTTTAGCCTGGGGCTGAAAAGGGGACTTGACATGTGCTTCTTAAGGAAAGTACAAAGGAGCAAACCTAAAAAAGTAGTGGAATCAGACAAAAAATACTTGTTAAGACAAAGCAGAATTCTTAGAAGATTTTTAAGGAGATATGATGGATGGAGCTGACAGGAAGCAGCTGCTATTTCCTGTAAAATTCAGTGTATTTTGCACCTGAATATGAAGCACGGTGTTTGCCGCATAGAGCAGGAGATCTCTTTAGAGAATCAACCTTGCCAAATTCAGAGGCTAATCCTCACCTGATGTTAATCAGCACAGCTCTATTGAGTCCAATGTAACAACCTCAATTTACAACAATTGACCCCAAAGCTGCTTATTTTTCACAATATTCAGACTGATAAATTTTCATGGCAGCTTTTTAACACAGTACATTTCCAAAGGAATATTCTTCCCTTGAGTAAGTCCCAAAAGGCCCAGTCCTGAAGCCCTTATTCACTTCTTATTCTGTCAAAACTCCAAGTAGGCCAGTAGGTGTCATAAGAACATGTGAGGGAAATTGTACCTATGGGCCAGAGGCATAGCTGAGGTCAATGCCAATAAGTATAGATCTTCTGAAGCTATGGCAGCCAGGAGCTCTTCTGGGGCCAGGAGACCAGCCAAGCTGGTGACAGTGAGGTTGGCAGCTCACAGGCATCCGTGCCAATCTAGACGCACTTTTCCGCAAAAAAGCCCCGATCGCCATTTTCGCAATCGGGGCTTTTTTTGCGGAAAAACAAATCTGAGCTGTCAACACTGGCCCTTTTGCGCAAAAGGGACTTTTGCCTGAATGGGAGCAGAATATTATTTCCGCAAGAAGCACTGATTTCAGACAGTAGGAAGTCAGTGCTTTTGCGGAAATTCAAGCGGCCAGTGTAGACAGCTGGCAAGTTTTTCCGGAAAAGCGGCTGATTTTCCGAAAAAACTGGCCAGTCTAGACTCAGCCTAATAGACTAACTCTACTGCTTACTGAAGCAATACTGCTGTGTTTTGGAACATTTATGTACACCAACATCCTTTTCTATCTAATGAATGGAAAAGAAAACTATGGAAATTCCAGCATTCACAGTTGTTCTATGTTTCATCACAGGGACAACAATGGCATTAGAATGCTCATTTGCCTCAGAGTACCCTAAAAGGAAGGAATCCCTCTTGATCTTATTAGAACACATTACTACAGAAGCCTGAAGGACGACATCCCAGGTACACAGACATTTAGGGCAAAGACTGATTACTCTCATTGGTCAATGAAGATAGATTAAGACAGCGATACTGACATTGAAATGCTAAGGGAGATTAGAGAGGCTACCAAAATAAAGAACTCTGTAATAATGGGGAATTTTAATTACCCCTATATTGACTGGATACATGTCACCTCAGGAAGAGAAGCAGAGAGAAAATTTCTCAATGGCTTAAATGACTGCTTCTTGGAGCAGCTAGTGCAGGAACCCACAAGGGGAGAGGCAATTATCGATTTAGTCCTGAGTGGAGCGCAGGATCAGGTCCAGGATATAACCGTTACAGGACTGCTTGGGAATAGTGACCATAATATAACAACATTCAAAATTCCTGTGGTGGGAAGAACACCTCAGCAGTCCAGCACCCTGGCATTTAATTTCAAAAAGGGGAATTACACAAAAATGAGGAGGTTTGTTAAACAGAAATTAAAAGGCACAGTGACTAGAGCCAAATCCCTGAAAGCTTTTGCAGGCCCCGTCTTGCAATGGGAGCGCTTGTCCAGGCGGTGTGGCCAAGTGCACCACCGGGCGGGGATCTGTTACGTGACAGTCCCACGCAGAGCCTGTGGGCAGGCTCCACCAGGTGCCTATTTCACGCACTGCAGGCAGATTTAGGGGCTTTCTCCCCGCTGGACGCTCACCAGGCTGTTTGCTATTCGGGGATCCAGCTGCTGGATCCTATTTCTTTTACGCCTCCAGAATATGAACTGAGCACTGACTGGGCTGTTGTCCTCTCAGCACCCCCTTGGGGGCACACGCTCTGTTTAGCAGCCCCCCCGGCCCATCACTGACCGCTCTGTAGCTGACGCACAGCCGCTCCCAGCACTCCACCTAGGCGAGCTTTCTGGGCCCAAAGGTTAACTCCCCAGTGCACATGCAGGGTGTAACATGCAGCGCAGATACTTTGCCCAGGCTTCTCACCCCATTGCTCTCAATTCCATCACCTGAGAAATTGCGATATCGGCTCTTCTTGGGAACTTGCCACCCTCCTCTCTCTGCTCCCGACAGACAAGCAGGAGGAAGTAACTTCTCCAAGGCTCCAGCTCACCAGGCCTGGTCTACACTAGACCAGGCAGATTAGCTTAGGGTATGCCACTCCAGCTATGCAAAATGCGTAGCTGGAGTCAGCTTACTTTGAGCCAAGCAGTGGCTGCGTCCACAGAGCAGGAGGTCGACAGGAGCACACACTCCTGTTGGCTTCCCGTACTCCTCTCAGGAGGAGGAGGATCGGGTGCTGGCAGGGCTGCCTTCAGCGCTTGATGTAGGGGGTCTACACTAGACCTGCTAAATCGAATGCTAGAAGAGTGATCTCTGGAACATCGATCTTCTCGTAAGTGTAGACATGCCCTCACTGTCCCAACATGATGCGGTTGCTGAGTTCTAATGACCCACCATTGTACTTGGAAGGAATATGCTTATCCCTTGTCAGGAATGGTGGGTACAAGGCAGGCAGAGATGCAGTCCCCATTACAGCAACATCATCCCAAGAAGCTCATCAAATTCATAAATCGTACAGACGGATCCCCCAGATCGCCATGTCTGTACACCCTGATTTTCACAGATTTATATCTGTTTTTATAATGGACCAGGCTGGGGCTCAGCTAGTCAAATAGTAACAAAAAAATTAAGATTAATACATATATTGCAAATGAATATGGAATATTTGTTCTGCTGTTAATTTTAATGATATTTCGAAAGCTGGACTAATTATTGTAAAGCCTAAATTTTATACACATTTTAGGATATTTGTCTCAAAGTCAAAACAGAAAGCATGTTATCTATTATGTGCTATTAATTATTCTTCTGCACACGGAGTTTGAGTTGCCCAATCAGGGAGCAGAAAAAATATTTGACTTATGTGACCAATCAGACACTGACCATAATGAACAGGAAAAAGGCAAATAGGATGCTAGGAATTATTAGGAAAGGGATAGAAAATAAGACCCAGAATATCTTACTGCCCCTGTATAAAACTATGGTACGCCCACATCTTGAATACTGTGTACAGATGTGGTCTCCTCACCTCAAAAAAGATATTTTGGCCTTGGAAAGGGTTCAGAAAAGGGCAACTAAAATGATTAGGGGTTTGGAACGGGTCCCATATGAGGAGAGGTTAAAGCGACTGGGACTTTTCAGTTTAGAAAAGAGGAGACTGAGGGGGGATATGATAGAGGTCTATAAAATCATGAGTGGTGTGGAGAGGGCTGATAAAGAAAAGTTATTTATTAGTTCCCATAATAGAAGAACTAGAGGACACCAAATGAAGTTAATGGGTAGCAGGTTTAAAACTAATAAAAGAAAGTTCTTCTTCACACAGCGTGTAGTCAACCTGTGGAACTCCTTGCCAGAGGAGGCTGTGAAGGCTAGGACTATAATAGAGTTTAAAGAGAAGCTAGATAATTTCATGGAGGTTAGGTCCATAAAAGGCTATTAGCCAGGGGAGAAAATGGTGTCCTTGATCTCTGTCTGTCAGAGGCTGGAGAGGGATGGCAGGAGACAAATCACTTGATCGTTGTCTTCGGTCCACCCTCTCTGGGGCACCTGGTGCTGGCCACTGTCGGTAGACAGGATACTGGGCTAGATGGACCTTTGGTCTGACCCAGTACGGCCATTCTTATGTTCTTATGTAAGTGAAGGACTTAAATTACTTTCTCTGCTGTAAGTATCAGAAAAA